AATTTGCCACATTAACTGCAGTTTCAAACCAACTAAAAGGGCTGTGGATGTTATTAAAGCCTCCGTTAGGAAGTCTGCATCAGCCCTGATTACAGTGATGCAAACACAGGTATGGTGAAAAAAGAGAGAACTATTCGAAGCAGAAAAAAACAACGTAATATGCCATCTGACAATGACAGTATTTTTCTTTTTGGATATTTTACAAATCACTCCCCTTTCAAACTCTATTCTTGTTATTTTTAACAACTTTTTTGTTACTGTCATATAGTATTTTATACCTGTTAATAATTGAGTCTCTAATGTCTCATTAATAACTATAATGATCATATCAAGGTGTGCCTTAACCTCACTGAGCTGAGGTTATTTGAGCCTCTCAGGAGAGAGCTCTCTTCCACCTGGTTGTAGAAATGCTCTTTAAATTCGTTAGCATAGCTAGCTAACCAGATGCTAATAACAACAGATCGCCACTGTGCTTACAACTAAAGACACAGCCTCGCAAACACTGCGGCATGTGTACGGCTCCTTATGGGTACTGCAATATTTGAAGAGCTGGAGCAGCGTTCCGATGCTCTCCGTTACACCTTCCAGACGAGAGATAACCACGTGAAGACCTATGGTGAAGACACGTTACGCTCGTGTTGTGTTCAATGAACCTGTCCTTGGCCAGGAAAAACAGGCACTCGCTTGTTTAATTATTTTGCGATCTAGATTTCTTCTTCTTTTTTGAAGTGAGAAGTTGTCGGACTGACGGACCCCCCCCAAAACAAAAACTCTTCGGTTCTCCACGAATTACACAAGTCACCCAAATCAGCGTTAAAAAAGCGGGAGGCGCCGAAAAGCGACTAATTTGCATCACTGTGATTAACCTGCTACCTTACCATGTGCAACGATGTAAACATTTACTAGTAAACTTTGCAAAATAATAAACATTTTAGGTTACATTTTATTTTAAATGTTTTACTTAGGGTCATATATACCAGTGCCTAGTTTAGAACAGTTTGTATATTTGTACAGCTCACTAACATCGGATTGAAACCAAAAAATTGTTTTACAAAGAAGAAACGCCCCTTTACTGAATTGACACCGTGGATATAAAATGTTCTTGAGAGTGGAGTTTATCCCAAAGCTATTTACCCCCTCCACCCAAAAGAAGGGCCATCATTCAGCTGAGAGTGGCACTACGGACCGAGTTCACTCAGTCAGAAAGGGGGAGGGTGTAGGGTTGGGTTTGGAATTGGGCCTAAAGCTTACTGACTGCACACTCACCAACATCACTGCGCTGGCTGTTCTTGTCACTGGGCAGGCGGGCGTAGGAAGTATAGTGACCTCCGATCATTCCTCCATAGTGGTTGATGACTGCGTACAAGTCGTAGATGGGAGGTTGTTGCATATCGTCCTTCTGGCCAATACAGAACTTACTAAGATCCAGATTCCTAGAAGACAGGAGTGCATGACGGTGTAAACATATGATTAAAGTAAATCTAAACAAATGGAACAGGTGGTTGGAGTTTAACTTTTGACTGTGTGTTTACCTGACAGGGAAGTCCACCATGTCGTTGATCTTGTCCCTCCAGATGAAGCTCCTGAAGGAGAAGCGTTTGAGCTGGATGATCAGGATGTTGGGCAGACGCCACAGCAGCAGCTGCTTGGAGGCCTCTCGGTGCTGCTGGCACTTTGGACAGTACCTGCAGAACAGAGAGTGTGGATATTAATCACTGCTCTACATCGCCCTGCTCCCCAGGAAAATACAAGCACTACAGTGAGGTGATGGAATATTATAAGACGTCAGTTTCAAAAAGAAAATGAAGGCACTCTGACTTGTGGAAACCAGGAGGTAAAGGCCTTCACTGAATGCCCCTTTAACAGATTTAGTATACATGTTTTTGTATGCTAATGCATGCTGAGTTCCCTTCTAAAGCAAACGCAGATAAGATTATGTCGTTTAAAATATCGAGGTCATTTTGGAGGACTTTTGTCATGAATTTCTGTATTATTTTATAGAAAGTAGCTGTGTCCAAAACATGATCAAATAATCCTGAAATGAATATACAAATATTGTGTTAATGCAACCTTGGGAGGCAACAAGAAAGAAAGTTCTTGCATTATTAGAGTTTGAAATCCCAGAATAAAGATCCTTACCATGCCTCCTCTGGAGCCAGCACCTCTGGCCTGGTGAAGAGGTTGAGGCACTGCTCCAGGGTGAAGTGTCCCGCTCTGGCCGTCTCACTCAGAGAGCCGGGGTCCTCGTCGTACTCCAGCTCCTTAGAGCTCACCAGCACGTACTCCTTCAGACGCTCATTGTTTTTCCACACCAGCTCCAGGGTGGCGTCTTCAGGGAGGTCTGCAAGGAGGTCCTCTGCGAAGGGGGCGTGGATAAAACCTTTGTTTTACAGCTTTCATTCAATACAATGGCGGCAAATAATCGATTAACATTCGCCAGGGCTGTCCGATTTTCGAATTTGATCATGGTCAGTTTCTGGCATCCCTAGTTGATTGTGCGTTGATCTGTTGCTAATGCCTCTGGGTTCCAATGGGCATGTAAACAAATGCATAATGCTGCGCTATACTTTGCGGCCTCACCCGGTTGCATGGCGACTAGGGACGGGAACGATTAATCGAATATTCAAAATTATTCAGGTATTCGAATAATTATTCAGGTATTCGAATATGAGTTATTAATATTTGTATTAATTTAATTTGTAATTGTATTGTTATTATTTTATTTTTTTGGGAGGGATGCCTAAGTTGATTACATATTATCAAATTGAATAATTCAATGTATACGACAGTGCCATAGCTAAATGTGTTAGTTGACGTCTAAACGTGTGTTTTGCTCCGCTCACCGGTCCCTCACAGCGGGCAGAGCTGCAGGTGCTGATCTCTCTCTCGCGTCCGGTTATACTTCACTCGTGTTTATGTCCAAATCCATCAGATCTAGCTGGTTCTATGATATGGCTGCTGCCCCTCCCTACACGCAGATCACGCAGACTCAAACCTCATCTGCGGCGCAAATGCGCTCCGCAGCCGTTGCGAGGTTCCGGCGCTAACAGATCATGAGCATGCTCCCCCGCCCCCCTGTCAACACATGAGTGGCCAGCCTGAACAACAATAAGTGTAATTTTCATCCAATATAGTATACCTCAATGAGAGACAAAATGAGAACAAAAAAATCCAGAAATCACATTGTCTGGTTTTTAAAGAATTTATTTGCAAATTATGGTGGAAAATAAGTATTTGGTCAATAACAAAAATTCATCTCAATACTTTGTTATATACCCTTTGTTGGCAATGACAGAGTTCAAACGTTTTCTGTAAGTCTTCACAAGGTTTTCACACACTGTTGCTGGTATTTTGGCCCATTCCTCCATGCAGATCTCCTCTAGAGCAGTGATGTTTTGGGGCTGTCGCTGGGCAACACGGACTTTCAACTCCCTCCAAAGATTTTCTATGGGGTTGAGATCTGGAGACTGGCTAGGCCACTCCAGGACCTTGAAATGCTTCTTACGAAGCCACTCCTTCGTTGCCCGGGCG